CCAGCTTGAAAGGTTTTGAAGCTCTCCATTAGGAAAGATGACAATTTAGGACAACTGCACATATTAAGAATGCAGTGCAAATTAGACATCTGCACAATAAAATTCTTAAAAATTTCAAAACTTCTCAGTACTCTCAAAAAAGTTTCTTCTTTCATTTTAAGATGTCCATATAATTAGCTATTTTGTCTAACCTCCTCATTCCAAATATCCAGTATACTGGACATTTTCCCCCAAAGTATTCTAGCTGTAAAGAAGCAGGTGCATCTCCACACTCATTTTTATGTGTTTCTAAATAACTCATGTATTATATTAGTTATTAATTGGAAGGTTTTCTTTTTATCTTGTAATAAAAACAAACATGTTTTTGCGGGCGCCTCCAAGACCAAATGAAATGCTGTTTTTAAATCATCCTGATCTCAGAAATGGCTTTGTATGTATGTCCCTCTAGAAGGTCCCTTTTGTGAAAGGTAAATAGTGAAATGGTATAATAGTGTAACTGTATAGTATAATCTTCAAGTAATCTGGACATTTGGACTCAGTGTAGTGAATTATGTTTTGATTAGTGTAATATGCCTTTCAAAACCGTTATCATTCTAGATTTTTGTTTATTTTGTTAAAAGCAGAATGTTGTGTCTGTTTGAGTGCCAGTAGATAATGGTCTAAAGATTTGGGGATAATATTTTTTTTCCAGTAATTACAATGGATTTCACTGTCCAGTTTATGGACATTTGGAATAAGGCACGTGAAATGTGCAAGATCATGAAAAATTAACATATTTGATATCATCAATATCCGCTTAGACCCCCCCAAAAAACAAAAACATTTCCGGTGTTTACTGCATGCACAGTGATGCCCAGAAAAAGTTTGTGAATACTTTTGAATTACCTAGTCCAGTGGATTGTCTGTAGTAACCCCCCTTGAACACCGCTCTTAGAGACGAGTGATGTTTCCAGCTCCATATCTGGGATGCTAGTAACTCTGCTTTGAAGAGAAGGTAGCCAGTATTTTTTAAAATAATAATAGTAATTGATTTGGAGAGCAGATCAGATCTGTCTGAAGTGAAGGGAGCCCTTGACTGGAATTGTCTTCTTTTCCCGATAGACTCTAAGAATGTTATTCTCTATGCTCCTGAACTGCTCCTTTAAAAGTCCACTGACTTACTCAATATGGCCAGCTGGTAATCAAAATTACTGTTGCATGAATAAAAGGCAATGCTCTGACCGAATATTGGCCTTGCTGAATAATGGAGAAGGCAAATGACATTTCATCTGACATTTTGAAAACTTTGTCCAACTACTGTAACTTGCTGTCAGTGCTTATGCATGGAAATCTCCCAAAGGAATGATCTTAATATCAAAGTGGGAGATGTTCATATTACAAGAGCTTTTAGGGATTACAATCCCGTTCCTGCTTCTTACTGACACTTTACAAATGAGGGAATCAATTAAACATATTTACTTGGTTACAGTTGAATGAGGTCTAGAACAATCCAGTACTTAGCAAAAAATGCCCCAAAATGACTCCCTTAATAATACTTCTAAAGGGCCTGGGATTATCCGTTAGCCGGCTTTTTAATGTAATGGATGACTAACAGAGCTGGGCAACCAGTGGATTAATCGAAAAAACAAATGCGCTCAATGAATAACAGACATTAGACCCTCTATTGGCTTTTTTGGCAGGGCTAAAAGGGGTTTGGCCATGTAGTGCCATTGTTCAGAAGTTCAGACCAACTGGATTACCAGAGGGCTTGTTAACATCCTAAGAAAGTGACAACTGAGGCAGTTCTTAGTGAACATGGCCAAGAATTTAGAGTCAAGACTTTGTTTTCAATATGTCCTCCCAGCACTTAGCAATAATATGGCCTTAAAGGGGGGGAATATGGGTATTGACAAGATTTTTCAGCATGAGAGAGGGCCTTGGGGGAAGTAAGAGACAGCAAGTGGAGGGTGAAAAAAACAGAGAATGTCTTGCATACAAGCAGGAGCCGGCTAAGCGCTTAATCTTCAATGCTCAGAGAATACTAACGATCCACTAATCGTCCTCGACCTTGACATGGAGCAACAAGGTCACTGGGGAGCCAAGGCATTTGCAAGGCTGTGAACTACTGGTGGAAATATTGTGAATAATTAGTAAACTGGAAGGCTCTGGGTGTGTACTTGCTCCTGCGCCCTCCCCCAGAGGGGCTATACCTGCCTCTTCTGCCATCCGTCGAGCGATGTTTTATTATGATGAGCTGGGGTCAGCCGTCTGGGCATGCCTAGGTATATGTGTGTGCGGCGCAGCGGGCTCCGCGCCGTAATTAAAACACGTTTATCTCCGGACGCTGCAGAAGGCCGGTTATTATTCAGCGCGCCGCAAGGCTGAATACAGTCAAGTGCTCCAGAGACCCATTCAGTTTATGTTTTGTAAGGTTTCAGGAAAATAAAATGAACTCTCCTCCTGAGGGTGCTTACTTTTTATCATCAGAAGGAATTATGCCAGTGATTTTTGCAGGGCTTAAATTTGATCTATTCAGTCTGTAACTTTTCACTATTGAGCGCTGCCACCGCGGCAGCAAGTTGACCTTCCGAAGGATTCATCGCCATTTTCATGACATGCCTGGGATTTCAGATCGCAAGATAATTTGGGGGGATGCCAGGGTGGTCATAAAGCAAGGTAATTTTGAGCATAATTTTTCATAAAACTTTTAAGTCTCACACAGTTATCATATTTTGATGTTGCTTGCTGCTCTAGATATGAGGGGTGGATGCTGTTTAGCTGGGGAGCCGTAGCTCGGTTCACTTTTTGTGTTGGGCAAGTTCAAGTCAAGTTAAGAACCTTGGGTTCAGTGCACCTTCACTTTCTTCATTGTTCACCATCATCTATACTACATCATGCTATATAAGCAAAATCTGAGACTGACTGAGTTTTAGCAAAAACATTCAGCTGCGATTGGACGTTTGGGTTTCAGCATTATATGATTATTAGCTAGCTACTCACTAGATTATTCACATATGGACCACTGTCTTTTCAAAGTCTAATTAAATAAGTGGCAAAATAGATGCTGTTGTGGTTTTGCAATCAACAGTACCTGGGCAGTGGGGTACACCGCTGTTTTCAAAGAATAAAAATATGCTAATTCTCACTCCCAGCCTTAACTGCAACATTAGCTCATGTTTGTTTGAGCAAATTTGACTTCAGTTGTGAAATCCCATTGGTGGTGAAGAGGCCTGGCAAATAATGGCCACAAGGAAGATGTCATGTCACTGGGAAAAAGAGCTCTTGTACATATGTGAACAAAATGAATTCATTACCATTTAGACAAAATCTACTTGGGATTTTGAATTTCAATTTCTTAAGATTTCTTAAGGCTAATTCCCACTCCTAGAACTACCCATAACTTTTTTTGCTTAAGTTTGCTTGGGCAGATAGGGCTATTGCGATAGTGAAATCCCATTGGTGTCGAAGAGGTCTGGCAAATAATGGCCACAGGGGAGACGCAATCTCGCTGCAAAAAAAAGAAAAAAAAAGTAAGTGTACTAGTTCCTGCTTTCTTTGGACTTGCTGCAGCTGAGTGCCTGCACCTGCAGACTCTGAAGGCGGTCAGGACTTGTGAGCCTCTTGCTCTCCTGATGCCCGGTGGAGCTCCTAAAGCCGGTGTGGCGTGGCCGCTCCTCGGCCCATAAATCCAGCCTGTGATCCCAGCAGGCGCCGCCCCTCACAGGCCCCTGAGGCGCCGCAAGATCAATCCAAGGTGGAGTGGCTGCAAGCCTCAGCAGCTTTTGTGCTGGTTTAAGTGCAAATGGAGGAAATCAGCAGGGAGCGCGAGGGTCGCCATGGTGAGGGGTGGGGGTGGTTACTGACAGGTACTGTCTGACTGTGTTTGAAAGGGAGATGGAAATCAGTGTGTTAAAGTTCAAAAGTTCCCTTTATTTAGACAGAGGTCTTGATCACTTTCTGATCTACATGATCTTGGGATTAAAAGAGTCTGTCTGGTTAAACTTGATTAACTAAACTACATTATGTTCGTCTGGAATGTATCACATATATCACTAGACTAGAGCTGCACAGTATATAATTTTTTTTATCATTGTTGCTACGTTATTCTTCATATACTGACAATGCAGAAGTGTCAGTCAGTTTTTACAGCTCGATGTTCTCTAGGTTTTTGGACGTATCACAATCAGAAAGCATACATAATTTTATTAAAAAATAATGCAGGCCAGTCACAATAAAAGTTTACTAATGTGGAAGGTATATTGCAATCACGGTGTTTAGGAAAATAATTGCAATGTGGTATTTTGTCTGTATTGTGCCACCCTAAGCGCGGTATTGAACTACTGCCTTAATTCCACCTGTAAGTACACCTTTCCATTGGTAGAGTGATAGTAGGCTCAGTTTGGAGAAGTCTGACTGAGTACTTTTTTGATTTTTCAAAGATCACAGTATGTATTGCAAAAATCCGTTGTGTAACTTTTCACAATTGAGTGCTGCAACCATGGCAACAAGCTGACTTTGTGAAGAATTCCATCACCATTTTAATGAAATGCCTGGAATTATAGACCATGAGATAATTAGGGTGGGTCACTGTGTTGTTGAAAGCATATTTTGGAGCATGCTTTTTCATAAAGCCTTTCTAGTCTCTCACAGTAAAGATGTTGTGCCTTTGATTGCTGCACTGCATTTGAGGAGAGCCGAGCTGGGACGGTGCAGGCCCAAGTTCAGTTGTTGTGTTTTGCAAGTTAAAGTTCAGTAGCCTGCATTTTCCCGAATTAAGTTCTTTGTTTAGGTTCACTGAGGCTTCACCTCCTTCATTCTTTATTGTCATCAGTATATTTTCATGCTATCTAAGCAAAAGCTGAGAGTGACTTGGGGTTGAATGAAGCATGCACACTGAGTTTTAGCAAGTTACTAAAATGAGCAGCCGCGCTCGATAAGTGGGTAATTTCACTACCTTAAACACTGAGGCCCCCACATGGGTCCCCACATTTTTTATTGAATATGATCCTATCCTATTCCAGATGGGGGGCTGTGCCGGACAACCTACTGCGGAAGGGGCCGAGAGTGTGTGGTCAGGCAGCTGACGGGCCAGACGGAGTGTGTGTGCCAGGAGAAATGCCACAGCTCGTTTGTACCCGTCTGCGGTTCTGATGGGCATTTCTACGAGAACCACTGTGAGGTGTACCGCGCGGCCTGCCTGCAGAAGAGGAGGATCTATGTCGTACACAGCAAAGACTGTTTCTTCAAAGGTAAGCTTGTAATGTTTTCTCATTGCTTCCTCTGCTCGTTGTTGCTGTTTCGCAATAACAAAGCCAAGTTTTTTTTTTTCCCTCTCAAGAGTTCTTTTGTTGGCTGTGATCGTATTGACACATGCTTGTAACTTAAGTGAATCCATTGTTTTTCAATGAAACCAATTTTGAGCGCTGTTAAAGACGAGTATTATTGGCTACTGCCTTGCATGGGCTCACAGCAGTCGCATCTTTTTGAGCAAACCTTCTAGTGTCCAATTCTGGGCACATGGCAAAAGACTGAAAAAGTAAAGCTGCTTCCATGCTCATTTAGCTAATAGCATTTAGGCTGTCACTGTGAATTGTATTAGTAACTGAGTAATCCACGCAGTATTTTGTCAGTTGAGCAATTTCAGTTTTCTTAAAAAGGGAAACAATAAAATGGACTGAACAATTAAGTCCATCAAACTGTGTTTCTTACAGTTTAGCTTTTTAAATTCCCAGGAAACACATGAAAAATATTAAAAATGTTTGCATGATCCTAAAATTAAGTGTTATATTAAACATCCTGCAAAACTGAATTAGAAATATAATAGAATGATGTGACCTAGCTTAGAAATGTCTGAGCATGTTTCTAATATTCTAATGAGCACATATAATTGACATATCTCCATCTAATACACCCAGCCTGCTTCACCACTCATGAACTAAACACAATAGTGTCAGTAGGCAAACATTTTTGAAACAGGCTGTACATATGCAGGTGGTTTTGTAGACCCTGCTGTGTTCTTGGCTCACTAAAAATATTTTCCAGCTTTTATGTGGTGACATCTTAAAGAAGATAAGGAAGGTTTTTATTCGCATGGTTGGTTGGATGAACGGATGACAGACAGACAGATAAGCTAGCTTGATAGCTCTGTTATACTGGCTGGGTTAGCTTTTGCTTGCTTGTTAGCGTTCACTAACTTAGGTTTCTCCAGTTTGAACAGAAGGAGACCATAGGAAATAGTTTTTGTTAAAGCTCTGTGTTCGAGATAAGCCACATCAGCTTGTGATCGGTGACGTACTGCTTACGCAAACTTTAACCAAGATTGGGACCACCCAGTTTACACTGAAAGGGGAAAATTTTGGTGATCATGTAATAAAGTGGAAAGTTATTCATAGGGCATATTTAGATTTAAATATTCAAACATACTTCACTGTTAAACTAAGCAGCCTTTAAAATCTTAAAAATGTATAAGCACTATGTGACAAAAATGCATATACATGAGTATGTTCATCATTCTTACAGCAAGAGAGACCAAATATCTGCCTTGCCATCATGGAAACATTGCTAATACATTAAGAATTTAATGTAATGAACATAATGAATTTAATGCATGATTTTTTGGTATCACTTTACAAAAAGACCACTGTTATAAAGGGTATATGAATGGTTTAAAAGAGTTTATTAATTTTTAATTATTAGGTCAGACAGGGCAGTTAAAACATATAAATAAAAGGGCAGTGGTGAATACCTGTTGCTTTCATCTGATATTCTTGATGATGATCATGATGGCCCAATATCAGAGCTCCAAACCCACCACCGCATCTACAGCCTCAAGGTTTCCCACCCTAAATCACAAAACAACAATGCCCTCTGGACGCTGACTCAATGTCTTTTTTGACAAGATTTGACAAGTATCTATAAGCTGTTGTTTTGGTGGTCCGCCATTGGCCCCAGCAGGGATAATGCCCATGGGAGGCTCATTTAGGTAGTTTGGGGTGGAGTCTTCCTCTAACTAGCCGAAGGTCATTCTCAAACATGCTGATAGAAGCTCAGTACAACGCTCTTCCCCATAAATAACAATGAACCCCCTGCATTTGCAGTGCCACCATGCAGAACTGTGCCACAAGGTTTTGGGAGGTCCATATGCATGAGCAGTGAGCAGCACGCAGCGAGGCTGTGGCTTTCAAATTAGAGAGCGGAATGGGAAAGGAAAAAAATCCCTGCCGATTTCTAGCGGAATTCGTGCATGCTTAATCCGAATTAGGCAGGTGTTCAATAGCCATGTTACACATCAGTGCTTTCCCAGAGGGCCCTGGAAAGAGAGAGGCACTCAGAAAAAGAGGCATCATTCTAAATGTCAGGAAGGAATTGTTTATTTATTTTTTTATTTATCAGTTGAAAAGGAAAGAAGAGCAGCAGGTGCTCAGTAACTCAATGAGTACAGGATTTATTGGTAATTTTTTTTTTTTTTTAAATATCCATGCTTGTGTGATATTAGACATTGATTTTGTTGTTATTCACTCTTGAAAAGAGAGGTTATATTAGTTGTTTCGGAACTACACAGTAGGCTGGGAATCTCACTGTTACTTTACAGTGAAGTAAGAAAAAAATGCCTGCAAAGGATTTATTAACATAAAACAACTGTTTACTAGTTTTATAATTATATTCTTCAGCAGTCATCTTCATTTTCACATTGACATCACTGACTTTATATCATTGTGAAAAATGGCAGATATTATGAAGTTATTCAAAACCAAGAAAGAAAGCATTCTTCATTGTTATGTTAGATATGGCACCCATTCAATATTGGGTAATGATATCAGGCTGATATCTGCTGGATCGGAGGACAAATATAGATTCCAACAGATTTTGTCACAGATCTAGCCTAAAATGCACAGGATTGTTGGTAGTGCCGCAAGGTGAGGTCAAGTTATAACATCAGTAACCTGGTGATAAGTTCTCATGATAACAGAAAGTGTGGGATAGTACTGTTTGAGTAATTTGAGCATGGTATGTAAATTTGATACAAATATTTTATTAATTGCTTTGTAGTCTGTATCATACAGGTATTGGTATTAGCTGATACTCAAGGTTACTCAAGAATCAGAATCACTGTATTTCACATACAATTAATTTGTACTCATGTATGACATGTAACAGACAAGTACACACACTATGAAGAGTATTCCAAATACAATAAAAAATTGACTAAGGGACAAGTAAACTATGCATAGTATAAAGAGACTAAAGAATAAAAAGGTAGATATATGGTGAGTATGTGGATATGTGCAGGGTCTGAGGGGACATATAATAATTATTAGGAGTGTCATGATAGGCATGATAATATAATTTTTTTCAGTATCAGGTTGCGAGACCGCATGCACTGTGTACTGATATAGATTTCACGCTATAAAATATGTGATCCTGTTACTGCTGGTTCTTTTAAAAATCTTTTTTTAAATCTTTTTTAAAAAAAAAACTTTACCATTGGCACCACTTTTCAGTGGTAGAGAGCGTTGGATACTGCAGTTTGCTGGGAATGATTGAACCACGTTACAAACTGCCACTAAATTATGTTAGAACCATCCCACACTCAATGTCAAGTGCCACACCTTATATAGAAACACAAGATCCGATTGTAAATGAACTTGTAATGCTTTTTATATAGTATTGAGATGTGGCCTTATAATTTTTTTTTGTTTACTTTTACATAGATATTGCACTTTTATGTTCTTACTTATTTATTTGTGACACCTTCTAAACTTGTGCCAGGTATCCCTTCAGTAAGCACTGTCATCTTTTTGGGACAACAGTGGGCATGACCAAAAAAGAGTGCAAAAACATTTTGGTAATTACTAAAAATAATAATAAACAAATAAACATGAAAGTTAGGACAGCATTTCTCTTACAATTCTGTATGGAAAATGTATCATATTGTGATGCAAAAATGACAATATGTATCATAACTTGAAATTTGCGTATCTTTACACCACTGGTAGATATTGTTTACAGTGTATAAAAAAATGACATGATTTAACATTTGGTAAAGAGGAGATATTGGAAAAGAAAAAGTGGTATTCATGCCCAGTGCTGGTTCTTCTATACACTCACTATATATTGTGCCCAGTGCTTGTTCTTCCTGTAGAAGAACAGTGGACCCCTATGGCAAGCATGATGCAAGTCAAGCAAGTCAGGTTTTGCTTAGGGCCCTGGGAAGGTTTGGACCAGCACTGATTTTGTCGTCTCTATTATTTATGTGATTAACATTTTAAAAGCTGTATGTCCCTAAATTTGACTATGATTGATTGGCAATGTACACGAGTGCAGTATCTCCATTTTTGTTGTTTTTCAGTTTTTGACATAATTTGAAAATGCCTGTTGCCCTTTACATTGTGTGTAAAATTCACGAAGAACGGAGCAAAAAAATGGCCCAAAATGACTTGGAAAATAGTCTGGTTCCATTGACTTATGTTAAAAGTAAAGTAGATTCTTTCCTTTTCGTCTATAGTTACCACTTGGTTATACAAGGTTTTCCTCCGACAACAGCGATGTGTTGAACCATAGCAGTTAAGCCATATGTTTTTCTGTAGCTACAATATACAGTACTTTAGTTCTTGCAGGGCAGTGGGTTTTGGCCAAATGATATTCAAGGAGTCTAGAAATTGTGGTTTGCCATGCATAACTCAGTGCAGATGGGTACTGTTTGTCTGGGTGTTTTGCTTTTCACGTGTGTGAGACTGCAGCTAAAAATAGTAACAGTCTTTGGGGAAGAATGTCGCTGAACTTGGCAAAAAGGTGGTCCCATTCCATCAACATAACTGAAATTCCCCAGTTATTCTTTTAACTGTCTGCACACACAGAACTGTGGTTTTCTTCTTCCTCTTCTTCTGCTGCTTCACTCAGGAAAAAATAGTAAAACCACAAGAGTCCCTGAGCATTGCCATGTTTCACATACTATGCATGAATTGTTGTTAAATTTCTTTCTATTATGGCTATTGCAAGACTGGCCTTGGCAATACTGACTGTATGGAGATCTAGATGAGCCCCTAGCAAATCATTGTATGTTTTAATAGTAAAAATGTGGCCGTTTGTAACATCCTGTCTCCCTCTTTCCCTGTCTTTCTGTTTCTGTCTTTGTTTTCTTGTTTCTCTTGTCACGTGCTTTTGTTTATATCTACCATGTTCCTTTGTTTTCTAGTGCCATGTGCTTTTGTTGTTGTGTTAGCTCCTCCCCTGTCCTGCCTTGACTTCA